TAAAAATATCCACCATTAAAACTATAAGCGTACTAATATTATTATATTAATAATAATACACAGTGACTCAAACAAGTGAACGGGTGTAGATTTTTTTTTTTTAAATATTCATAATGTTTTTCTAGTTACATTTTTTCTATAAAAAAATACCGTCCAAGCTTTAACCAAAAGCATAGAATTCACAGTCTCAAACTTTAANATCTAGCAGCTTCTTCACAGCATCTTCATTTCTCCGCCTAAACCCCCATGTCACAAAAGCTTGACTTTATATGCTACAATGATGGCAGCTATCGGTTATGGATAGTAAAAAGTAAGCCTAAAAATATCCACCATTAAAACTATAAGCGTAATATTATTATTAAAATAAAAATAAAAATAAAAAATACCATCCAAGCCTTAGCCAAAATTTAGGAAAATTCAACAAATTTTCATCAAAATTTCAAATTTTTAATCTGAATCTTTAGAGCATTTTTGAGCGCGCAGTTTTATAGACCATACAATTTTAGTTCAAAGAAGTGCAAGTTTCAAACGGCTAAAAACCCCGTAGATTTTTGATTTTTTTTTTCTTTTGGTGACGGATTTTCGCACTTTTTTCCATATAAGCATGAATTTTATATGAAACAAAATTTCAAAAAATCAACACCAGCTTTTGTAAATTGCACTTGTTACATAAAAAATTGCAAAAGCAGTCTCAAAAAAAATCTCAAAAATATACGCGATTTTGTAGCCAATTGAAACTTGCGCTTCCTTCAACTAAAAAGGTAGGGGCTATAAAATTGCATACCCAAGAATTTTTTAAGATACAGATTAAATTTCACACTGTGATTTATATGGTTTTGGTTAAAGATTGGAGTGTATTTTTAGAAAAAAAAACAAAAAAAATTTTACTCCAAAAAAGTTGCGAATATTAAAGTCACTGTATAAATTAAGTGAATCGGNCGTAGATTTTTGATTTTTTTTTCTTTTGGTGACCGATTTTCGCACTTTTTTCCGTATAAGCATGAATTTTATATGAAACAAAATTTCAAAAAATCAACACCAGCTTTTGTAAATTGCACTTGTTATATAAAAAACTGCAAAAGCAGTCTCAAAAAAAATCTCGAAAATATAAGCGATTTTTTAGCCAATTGAAACTTGCGCTTCCTTCAACTAAAATTGTAGGGGCTATAAAATTGCATACCCAAGAATTTTTTAAGATACAGATTAAATTTGACACTGTGATGTATATGGTTTTGGTTAAGGATTGGAGTGTATTTTTAGAAAAAAAAAAACAAAAAAAATTTACTCCAAAAAAATTACGAATATTAAAGTCACTGTATAACTTAAGTGATTCGCNGTTTTGGTTGAGACTAGAGCTTGGATTTGTATGTAAAAAAAAATAAAAATATCCACCATTAAAACTATAAGCGTACTAATATTATTATATTAATAATAATACACAGTGACTCAAACAAGTGAACGGGTGTAGATTTTTTTTTTTTAAATATTCATAATGTTTTTCTAGTTACATTTTTTCTATAAAAAAATACCGTCCAAGCTTTAACCAAAAGCATAGAATTCACAGTCTCAAACTTTAAACAAAATTTAGGAAAATTCAACAAATTTTCATCAAAATTTCAAATTTTTAATCTGAATCTTTAGAGCATTTTTGAGCGCGTAGTTTTATAGACCATATAATTTTAGTTTAATGAAGTGCAAGTTTCAAACGGCTAAAAACCCCGTAGATTTTTGATTTTTTTTTTCTTTTGGTGACGGATTTTCGCACTTTTTTCCATATAAGCATGAATTTTATATGAAACAAAATTTCAAAAAATCAACACCAGCTTTTGTAAATTGCACTTGTTACATAAAAAATTGCAAAAGCAGTCTCAAAAAAAATCTCAAAAATATACGCGATTTTGTAGCCAATTGAAACTTGCGCTTCCTTCAACTAAAAAGGTAGGGGCTATAAAATTGCATACCCAAGAATTTTTTAAGATACAGATTAAATTTCACACTGTGATTTATATGGTTTTGGTTAAAGATTGGAGTGTATTTTTAGAAAAAAAAACAAAAAAAATTTTACTCCAAAAAAGTTGCGAATATTAAAGTCACTGTATAAATTAAGTGAATCGGCTTGCCTAGNATCAACTTTTTGAAGTGAAACTTCTTTACGTTCGATTGGGAGTAAATGCAAACATCGATGTAACCAAAAAGCGACACACTCGTTGAGCTCTAATTTCAAACGAAAAATCGGCAAAAGAAGGTAGGGGATGGCGGCGTTGGCTGGTCACAATTAAGATTATGATTATGAATAAGGTCGAGATTAAACCAAGGCGAAATCATATAAGATGATATTGCAAGAACAGCTGATTTAATTCGCCTCGGTACACGTATGTCAAAACTTCTCATTTCGCTTGAGTGAGCGAGTAAGAAAGTGAGACTTTAGGAATTTTCTTTTCCTCCTTGAATTCCTTGTGCGAAGAGTATCTGAAATTTGATATTTGTAACCCAAGAGCAAAAACAAATATTAGTACCATGCTGTTTAGAAAAATATTTTAAGCCAAATAAGAAAATCTTAAATTCTCAATTTTACAGAAAATATCCCCCTATTCGGAAATGCAGCAAACCAAAGCATCAGTGTCTTTTACATCTAAACTATAATTGCTGGAAAAGCCCAATCTAACCGCGTATGGTTTAAAAATAAAAGAGACTGATGCTTTGTTTTGTTGCAATTCCGAATAGCCCCTATTTTTAATTAATTCAAAACCACTGGCAATTACCGCACTACTAGCACTGAAACTGGTTTAAGCTTTACTCCTGTAAGGATTACTTCACGGTGATTTCAAAAATTAAATCGATTTTTGTACCGACTACAAACTTTGAAAACCCTGGGCTGTGATCCCGCTAATTTCTTTTATTAGGGTTACTTCCAAAATTGAGGTCAATTTTTTACCGGTTATCAATTTCGAAACATCCGAATTTTTAGTACCGGCTAGCCATTTAAAAAGCGGAACCCGTGCCCTGCGGAATGGTAGCGCGCACAGCTGACCACTACACCACAGCGGGGGCTTTTTAATTTAATTAAACAAAAATTATTTTACATAAAGTTTCCTCAGTGCAGTAATTTTTGAAATATCGCAGTTTCCATTTTTTTTAAATACCTTAATATGGAAGGTGGGCGTGGTTATTAACCAGTTTCAAAATTTTCCATCACTTCCATGAAAAAAATTGATTTCAGCGATGCGGTAATTGCTAATTGTTTTTAATTAATTAAAAATGTTTCCTATCAAATTGAGAGGTACAAATTTTTTTCCTGCGATTAAAATATTTTTCTGAACAGCATGGTATCATTTTTATCCTGTGTGCAATTTTTTCCAGGTATCACTAGAAATAGAGCTAGAATGACTGTACTAAACTGTCAATTATAAACACAAAAATATCTAAATATCTTAAAAAGCACAAACTTAAGACTGAATATTTTTTCTACTAAAATTAATATTTTTATCAGATTGCTTTCTAAAGCAGACGTATAAAACATAAATTTAGCCACTCTAACTAATTAAAATTTCAATATTACCGCGCGCGGTAAATATGGAAGTTTTGGATCCCCTACCAATCTTTTTCCCCTTAACATATTTCAAAGAGGTTAAGAGTACGAATGCCGTCAGCGGTTTTTGGTTTTGCTAGTTACGAAAAAACATCTGTGAAGTGCAGAACCAAATTAAACGACGAAGAAAATTGATTCAGGTTGAACATTTAAAGACAAATTCATAAAGCGGCTGTGGCTGAATGTGTAGAGATGATTGCTGTTATTTGCTAACCTCGTCAGAGGCAACGTGCTAAAATGACTATAAACATTTTTGTTTTGTATCTCCGAATTATGGAAAATCATCTGTGAAGTGCAGAACATAAGCGAATTAATTATTAGAAAATAATTGTAGACCTCCGCAGCGCCTTGGTTCAAGTCCTGGTCAAAGCAACATCGCACAAAAAAATTTTCAAAAAATATTTTTTCTTAACAGCGGTCGCCCCTCGGCAGGCAATGGCAAACCTCCGAATATATTTGTGCCATGGAAAACAATCGCCTTTCGGAGTCGACGTAAAACTGTGGTCCCTCCCCTTTGTGGGACAACATCAAGGCGTACGCCACAAATCGGAGGAGAAGCTCGGCCAAACACTAACATAAGTAGATATGGTATAAGCGCCAATCTATTATTATTACTAATTGTAGAAAATATCAACCAAGGCATTGCTTATATTAACCAAAAATCATGTTATTTCCTTTGCAAGTTTGAATTTGGTAATATTAACTTAACGTAACTTAAAACGTCGAAAATCCAGATTAAACAGACTTCGTGGCAATAAGTTACGTTAACTTTCGCCTGTCCAAATATAAGCAATATCGATCTAAATGAATTTTTATGTGGTAGCTTTAAGTTACCTGACCTTGACCCTTATCTAGTGACAAGAGCTGAATACCATAAAAGAGCGTTGCAAACAGTGGTTCCTAATTATTTTGAATTATTATCAAAAATATATGTAAAATTTTGAAAGCTTTAATAACCGAAATAAATAAATAAACCTGCATTTATTTGAATTCATGTTTTCAAATTTGCCGTCTCCCAAAATCTGGCGTCCTGTGTCAGTCCTCCGAGAGCACCTAGTGTTAATCCAGGACTGCGTATAGCTCCAAGCGATTTTCAGTAGTTGTGAGATAAACCTAATATTAATTACTTGTCGTATGAAATTAAGTAGATATTTTTTTTGTACATCCTAAAACGACTATTGTAACTCAAATTTTTGACTATGAAAAAATATGATTTATTCTGTAGAAAATGATTTTGCCTAGTAAAAAAATAAACCAGAAATTTAATGTTTAATCGAAGATATTCTTCCCCATAAAATATCTGGAAAATCCTTTGCTATGTCGTTTTTCCCATTTGCTCACGATCTCTTAATTTTTAAAAGTCAAAATTTTCTCAGCGTAATAATGAATATATGAATGTACTTAGCTTTACCTGATAGAAAGGCACAATCATCTAAATCCGGATCATTTGTCATTTCGATGCGTTCGCGTCGCCAAACTTTCGAACCTCTCTGACCGCCGCCAACGAACGATATCTTAACGGGGCCCGCTGATCTTTGTCTTCCTGCCAATACGTACGAATTTTCACGTTATTCTTCGATACGTAGAACGAAAGGGAAAACGTTGCCGCGATTTCGTTCGTTCGACGTTTGACACGGAGATCACTTATAAAGCACGCACACAACTATAAACTTGTTACTTTGGTGCAGGATATTCAATTTTTCCCGGTAAATTTTAGTGCAACTTCACATTTATTTTGAGCGTTATAAATGTTTTAGTAAAAGAAGCATTTCGGGAAGCATATGTGTATGGATGCATGTAGTTATAATACTTTTTTTCAAATAAATTTCACTTATGTTTGTTTATTACTCTTTCTAGAAATAAGCCTAATTATAAAATAAAACACTGAAAAAAAAACAAAAACAGAATTGTGTATTCACGTTTTTAATTGAATACCTCTAAGTCTTAATGCACTCTGATATTTTTTACACTTCGCTTATTATGAGATCTTTTGTTTTTTTTAGATTCGTTTCGCCAATTCACTTTGAAGTGCTGCCCACAGTCAGTCGAGTCTGCCGGCAAAATGTAAACAAGTTTCAGTCAACAGAATGCTTCACAGCATAGAAATCTCGGTATTCATTATGAACGGCGGCTGCATCCAAGTTAATTCAACTCATATTTTATTCAACAACATTACACATAACAAACACTGCCGAATACAGATTTTTTGGGTGTCCTTGTGTGTCTTTGCAATGCCACCAAGCCACCCAGCAGCAAAGTCAACAACGCCTAACGCAAAAGGCAAAATAGGAGGCAATGTGCAACCCCAAGCCCAAGGTAGTCAATAACAGCAGCAGAGAAAACATAAAAATCTCATTTTATTTCGGGGTAGCTCATCGCTGCAGGCCTTTCGCTTAAAGTGTTTCTTTAGTGCGAATCGAAATTTTCGGCGTTTCCCTCTTTCACACAATCTTTTGGCTCGACTAAATGTAAAAAGCCAAGTGCCAGCCAGCAGCACAAAAGACTTCGCCTAGACGACCGGCTCAAAAGAGCAGGCAGACAATTTGAACGGAACGACAGCCAGACGAGCAGACACAATACAAATGCACATAGCACATCCAAGACAACACTTGGCGCAATTGCACGCACTTGAAATTTTTCGTACAAAAACTACCACCAACGCCAACGTCAATTGCGCCTCACCCTCGAGTATACTATTTCTATATTTGTATGTATGTGTGTACACAGCATCACGTCGACTATCCCCATCACCATAATTGTCCTTATCAAAGTATATTTTTGCCGGCATCTCTGCCATCGTTGCTGTTTCAACCCAGCCGCATTCAGGTTAGTAGTAATCGTGTAAGCGCACAGTTTGTTGCCGACAACACCGAAGGGGCATACTCGTCGGCGAACCTTTTTCTCCCCATTCCCATAAAATAAATACTTTGGGTCCATTATTTTTTTGGCACTTTTCTTGCGCATATTTTCAATGTCGCATTGAATTAATGGGAAAATGTTCTACCTTTTTGGTGAATATTTGTTGTACAACTGTACCGTACAGTGGAATATGTTTAAGTATGTGGATGGGAGTCGCCAAACATAGCCGGTAATGCAACCCAAATATTCTCTTACCAATGTAAGTAAAAAATGTGTGTGAACGTGTAAATATGTTTGCACAACTGAGAAATATAGCCAAAGTCATTTAGATTACATATTTGGTTTTGAAAAGTAGAACATGAACATGTTACCATCTGACTATAAGTGGTTTCATTATATTCTGTCAAAAAGATTTTATCTATGGGTATTTTAGGAAAATGAAAAGCAGTATGAATGGGTTTGTGTATGCATCATTATTGTTTTCTTCTTTTTAGTACATTTATAGAAGCGTCGTATATTAAAAACTTTTTTATTTTATTAATTTTTTAAAATAATTTTGTTTTGATTTCTAGATCTTATTGTTTAAAAAAATATATGTAGTTTTTAATTTAATTTAATTTTTAGAACTAATTTACGTATTTTTTCTTATTAAAAAATTGTTTTCTCAATTTAATTTTCTTTAAATTTTTAGATGTTATTGTTTCAGTAAGGAGAATATATTTTTAATTTCATTTAATTTTTACGAATTTATTTATTTTTGTCTCTTTGCTATTATTATTTTTTCTTTTAATTTTCAGATTTTATTGTTTAAAAAAGAAATATGTTTATTTTGATTTCGTTTCATTTTTAGAAATTTATTTTTTTCTAATATAATTTTCTTTTAACTTTAAAACTTTGTTTTTTTTTTTAAGAAAAATATAGTTGTTATTTTTTAATTTTTAGGATATAATTTTATTCGTTTTGTCTTTTTTAATTTTTAGATGTTATTTATAAAAAATATTTTTTTTATAAATGCAATTTTGTATTTATTTATTTTTCTTTTTCTAGTTTCATTTCTATATTTTTTTTATTTCATTTCATTTTTTAAAATATCTTTGCTTTTTGTTTTATTTGCATTTTAACTTTATCGTCTTTTCTTTTTTAAATTTCTTTTATAAATTAGTTTTTATGGTTTTAAAATGGAGCAATTTATGTTTTTTTTAATTTTATTTAATTTTTAATAAATTTGTTTATAAAACGCGAATAGCATAACGCTAAGTCCTCCTCGTTAGCAGATCTTTAAATACTAAGTCTTTCGAAAGACAGTAAAAAGCTTTGAAGATACTTGCCAGAATTGATAATTGTCTTACGAATGAATTTGGTCTTAGAAGAATTGAGGATATTCATATGTTTTCATTAAATTAGATGTCCTCATGTCATCACCGCCATTCAAGAAATGCTTTGGACGGACAAGGCAAAAAATGTCTGGGGCCCTGCGACTACAGCTGCCTTGTAAAGCCGCGGTGGACGATCATCTAGCCACAATCACGCCCCGACGGAAGTGAATGACGCAACATACAGGGATCGCTTTTATGAGCGCTTGGAGAACACATACGAGCCTGGCCCCGACACGATATCAAAATCGTGCTTGGCGTTTTCTGACAACTGAGTTTGACCGACTTCACAGGGATCGGAAGTAAATCGGAATCGATCATGTTGTGATAGACGGAAGGCACGATCCTAGTGCTTTAGACGTACGTACACTTCGAGGCACGGTTTTTAGCAGCTAATGCCCGCATGCGCCATGGCAGTGTGACGAAAGTTCGACGTGGATAAGCTGCAGTCACAGCGGACAGCCAAGAAATGTCTCGCTACTGCGGAGGAAGTAGATGGATACTACCGCCCATGTAGGAACAACTGCTATGACGAGGAGTGTCATAATGCTGTTGCAGAGAATTACACCGCGAGATCACTCATCTCAGCATATATTTTATTCCTTCAGACTACAGGAAGTCCAGAAGTGTTTTTGAAGGTAAGGAGTGTATGTGTTCTCTGGCCACATTGAGCATATGCTGTTCATTCATCACCTCGCTACGGCATCACATTCAAGGTGCAGGTTAACAGGTCTATTCTGCACGTTACCGAAGATTTTGTAAGCGGAAAATTGTATTACCAAAAAATGTTACCAGTTCTTGTCACCGCGATTCTAGGTACGTTGGTAATGCAGTTAAAATATTCAGCAATTCAGCTATGAAGAATTGTGCAAATCCTGGCATTGCATATTTTACGAGGCAATAATTTGTTACCAGCTTATGAGATGGTAACAAAATTAACCGGTTACAAGAGGATACAGAATGCGAAAAGGGCTTAAAAATTGACAGGAACTTTATTTACCGGTTACAAACTTTTTATTACCAGCGCAGAATAGACCTGTAAATGGTGTCTCCTCAGTTGAATCGCACTCGAACCTCAAAGCACACCAAAAAAAAGTAAACAACGCTTTGAATATTAGTTGGTAAATAATAAAAAATATATTGGAAAATCCACTTAACATTGATTACAAAGCATACAGAGTTTTAATGTATAAACTTAATTGTATTTCTTGTTGCCGGAAATGCCTCTAACCACGTAAATACATCCATGTGTATATACATAAATATGTATACAAATATATGTATGTATGCATACTAGGGATGCCAAAATATGCGGAAAATTACGATCCCGGAATTTCAGAATATTTTTAAAATAATCCCGGGATCCCGCAATTCATACCGGGATTCACATTGAGACATATCTTTTATGAATACAATAACTGAAAGCAATTAAACATACCATGAAATAAAACTGTTTAAAATTTACGACAAACTGATTGTAAAACTCACATATTTATTAAAAAAAATCTTAAAGTATTACATTTCTTTAATTGTATTTAAAAATCCAACGTAAACACCGGCGATCAAAAGTGATTGCATGGTGTTTTTCGTCAAATATTTGCAATGTTTTTCAATTTTTTTTTTGTTATTTTTTTATAAAAATATGGTTTCTGCTTTTATCAAAATCACATAAGTCAAACTTTCAAACTTCATGCAGTATCTAGAAAAATTCTTATCTAAATTTTGAACTTTTCAATCTGAATTTTTAGAAAAATTTTGGGTATGCATTGGTTATGTAATAAAAAATAGAGCAAAAAGAAAAATTAAAAATTAATACATAAATTAATTACAATTTTTTTTTACTAAAATTACAACTATCTCTGAAAGTATTAGTCCTACATTATTTGGTATCATAACCTTTTTTGCATTAAATTTATGATCGAAGTAAGCTAAGAAACTTGGGCGAGCATAAGTTATTGACAAAAATTATTCATCTTTCGCACAGATTTCAGTTTTCAGAGCCTAAGGAACCATATTTATGGTATAAGAAATAGAAGCACAAAAAACTGATTTTCCCCCCACGCTACTGCATAACCAAATTTTTTCTAAAAATTCAGATTGAAAATTTCAAAATCTAGATACAGTTACAGGCTAACCTAATATTCACGCACGCCGCCAATTTATTGTCAAAAATTTCTCATGCACATGCAACTTGTATGAGATCAACCGAAATTGAACGGCGTGCGTATGAAGCTAACTCAATTTCCAATTTTTGTTCTGCGTGACATTTTGATTTGACGTTTCGCTCAATGAAATCAAATGCAAACGCATGCAGGTCAATTTCGGGTGACGCAAAAAAAACAAATTCGACGGCATGCGTACAAAAACGCAAGCCGCGAATATTAGGTTAGCCTGTTAGTAATGATTAATAAAAAAAAGTTAAACAAAAAAGTACAAAAACATTTTTATTCTTTTCCATTTTTTCGCAATTTACTCAACATTTTGATGGCGTACGAGTCAAACGGACCTCATATTCTGATTCAGCAGGTTGAAGTACATGTTGGTAGGTTGGTCTGGTTAAAAGCACACACCCCTATTTCTGGCGGTTTATTATTTCACTTAAAATGTGTACGTAAAAGCTCAAAGCGTTTAAAGCGGAGTCTTCTAATCTTGACATGAAGTTAGTACATACAAAACCCTGTCGATGAAAAATATCTTTCGGCCTCAACACTTTTAGGGTGAACTGTCAAAAAGTAGTCAAAAGCCATTTGAAGAAAATTACCCCTATCTCATCCATTACAAAATATTTGAACTTCTTTTCTTCAAAAAAGGCTCAGGCTGCAATTTTAAATGTACAGTTTAAAGCTTTTTGTTAATTGTGGTCAAAATGGCATTTTACTAAAATCATAATTCAAATTCTTAAACAAGTTCGTACCATCAATTCGATATTTCAAATTCTCGGGACAGAAAAAACACCGGGATCCCGGGACTGTTATACCTAGTGCATACATATGTACAACGTTAGAGGAGCTATTTATTTTGATTACGGCATTTCACTTTCCGCTTTGTGCTGCTGTTTTGTTTACATGCGCTCAGCATATGATTCCCTTCACCATCTAGCAATATGCGCACATGTCTACATACATATGTATGTATGTGCGTATGTATGTATTTTTATGTACATAAATATACATACGTATATGCATATATGTATTTCTGTACCGAATGCCAATGGCGGGATTTTTTCTTTAAAGAACCAAGGAAACCGCTAATAACTGTAACCACCAGAGGATTTTCTCATAACAATAAAATAGATAGAAAGAGAGAGCGAAGCTAAAATTTTGCACCTAATATTTTCGCAAGAGAACAAACCAGCGAAGGCAGTGAGAATGAGAGAGTAAGCGTCATATTCCAGTCTGCAAACAAACTCGGAGCAATGCGTAAATTATAAGCGCGATTGAGCAGGAAATTTAATAATATATTAAAAAAAGCAAATAAATTCAAGAAAGGAAAAAGGTAGAAAAGGAAGTACAAGCTTCCAGTACTCATTTAGCACATTTCGCTTTCTCATTAACTCAGAAAAAAT